GCTTTGATTTTTTCAAAGATCACCTCCTCCAGTCTTAAGAATAGCCCATCCCATCAAGCAGAGAAAGAAGCAAAGGTGGCAGGAAGCCTGTCTGGATGAACAAGATGTTCCTGAAAAACCTCAAACACAAAAAGGAAGCATACACGAGGTGGAAGCAGAGTCAAGTGACCTAGGAGGAATATAGAGACACTCTTTGCACGTGCAGGGATGGGGTTACGGCAGATGAAGCCCACCTAGAGTTAAATCTGGTGAGGAAAGTGAAGAGCAACAAGAAAGGTTTCTGCAGGTACGCCAGCATGGGAGAGTGTAAAGAAGATGCAGTCTGACTCTTCTCAGTGGTGCTCAGTGAATGGGCAACCCACAAACTGAAATAGAAGGAATACAATTTAAACATAAGAAAATTTTTTTTTCACCATGAGGGTGGTCAGGCCCTGTAACAGGTTGCCCAGAGAGGTTGTGGATTCTCCAGCTGTGGAGATACTTAAAACTCAGCTGTACGTGATCCTTGGCAATCTGCTCAAGCTGACCCTGCTTTGAGCAGTGTGGTTGGACTAGATGGGTCTCCAGAGGTCTCTTCCAGCTGTAAAGGCTGTGTGATTCTGTGAACTTTGGATGTTCAATTATTTCTTTTTCCACTGACACAAGGAAAAATACTTCTAAGGTTTGAGAATACAAGCAAGTCAGTAATGTATATAAACTTTTCAAAAATTTTCGTAGTAGTACTTTTGAGTTTTGTGTAGACAGTTAGATCATAAAAATGAAATACAGAAATTCTGCAAGTGTCTCTATGCTTAAGACCATATCAGTACTGTGTTTTCATGCTTTGCATAACTAATCTTTTTACATAAAATAAATCTCCGGTGTGGTGAGGAGTCAGCTTACCAAAGTGTCATCTCTTACTGACCCTCCTTTGACATCCCCTGCAAGGAAGCTAGTTGTTCTGGGATCTGGGTCTTTCTCTACATGCTCTGTAAGAACATAAGAAATTCCCAGCTGATTCAGAGACTGGCCCATCTAATCAGGCAGTCTGTCTTTGGCAATGGGAGATGCTGTTCATGGAGAGCACAGCTTGGCCAGTTTCTAGGGCCTCTTTTCCCCTACCATCAAGAATCATTGTTTTGAGATATTAGAGGCTGCATCCCTCTAAGTAGAGAGTATCCAATTATGGAACTGCTGTCTGAATTTGTCTAATCCTTTTTGCAATGGTTCCCAGCGTTTTTTGGCTTTACAGCTGCTGCATGCCAAACCAATGGTTTCAGAGAATGTGGCTTCAAGATCTTCCTGAGCAGTACCTACCAGCAAATACAGCTGTAATTGTTCCAGCTGCATTGGTGGTGACACTGCATATGCAGGTGGCATTTGTCTGTAGGTTAAAAATCAGAACACTGAAACAAATACAGAAATGCAGCAGGCTGTTTTGAGGGATTTTTTTAGTACGTGACAGAGTTACATGGCAGCCATCATAAAAAAGAAAGATTGTTGTCTTAAGCATTTCAGTAGTTAGAAAAAAGCTTATGGAAGTGGGAAGTAAGTATTCGACCTCCTTTGGTAAGGTTTATATTCTTAAGTATGGTACCACTGAGAAGACTATCATGAGTGAGCTGTTACTCCTTTTCGGTTTGGTGGAAAGATGCTTCAGAAAACCAGCACTGGTGGAGGCAGGGGTAGAAGAGGAGGCTTAAGCATTGTAGGCAGAGGTTCCAGTTTTACTCTTGTGCTTCTGGGGTTTCTTTCGGCCTAATCCATTTAATATGCAGTAGGCTTTGTTCAAGGAGTTTTATCACATATTAGCAAAGTGTGGTATACTTGGACATTGATTCTGTAAATTGTCCTGGCAGTGTTTCCTTTGGAAACCCCAAATAAATAAGTGGAAGAAGTATATCTTAAACATTTAGTGTATCTTTCCCCTAAGGAGTAGTTGAGAGAAGAATAAATCAGTTAGAATCTGCTACACAGCTATTACCTTTGTATGTATGGCCATGGATCCATCGTGGGACTACTTGTTTATGAAAATATTGAAGGTATGGTATGATGTGTACATAGGTACTGATCTACATACAAGTAGAGTGAGTGTGGAGTTGGTAAATTTTTATCTGGAGATCTGCACACACTATCTGCTTGACATTGAACAGAACTTTTAAATTAATTGTTCTTAAAGATATCTGTAAATCAGAATTGGGCTTAATGGAATTAAATTTAAAACTATCCAAAGTTAGATTTAAAAGTATCCAAAGTTAAAAATATGTAAAGCTTGTGGCTAGATATTAACATGATTATTTTATTATGAAATGGTTTTGTTTCTTTTTGGGTGTTTCTGGCCGGAGGGTTGCTTGGGTATCCAAAGCAATGCAACAAAGGTTGAAGTTCTTTCGGTGAAGTATTTATCACGTTCTAGATTAAAAGAAGGTGTATGTGTAGGTCTGTCCTTTTCTACATTTAACACGTGTATAAATGCTTATCTCCAAGTAGTCTTTAATCAATGCCTTTCTTTAAAGGCACATATAATTTAAGTTAAGCTAGTTGTCTGTGTTAAATTGCTATCTGAAACCAGTAGCTAGGTGGTGGTTTGTTGGGTTTTTTTAATCTGCATATTAGTTATGTGGCAATGGCTTGATGACACATCATTATTGAAGACAGACAAGCTTATATATAAATTAGGTCACCGAGGTACATTTGGGTCTTTTTCCAGTTTAAAGGCCTAAGGGATTAAGGCAGCAAGAGCTATGTGCTGCTTTTAATTGCGGGTTTGCTTATGGTAGCAAAGCTATCTTCCCAAAAAGGGCTGAAATACTGGAGTTTGAGTAAGATAACAGAAGATGAAGGATTTTTTTAACATATGAAAAGCTAAGTGATTTCTAGAGTGTCTTTTTTTTCTTCGTCTTTTATTTTTTCTTTCCTTAAACAGACTACTTCTTTCAGCAGTTAACTTCTTTTATATTCTTTTTTTTGGAAGTCTGTTGTCGGTGAAGTGCTTTGCAGTGAGAGGAAGCCATGTCAGAGTAACAAATCCCCATGTTAAACTTGTTACAGAATTTAACTGAACAACAGACACAGATAACAGGAATAGGCCTTTAGAGACTAAAATTGAGGTTTTAGACCATTATTTGCAGCACAGAAGCATTAGATGTTGAGTACTACGTGAAGAGGCTGATAGTTTAAACAAGGATTTTGCATAGCATGGTATCTGAAGGTATCATCTGCAGCTTGTCTGGTTTAGTTTTATACTTTGACAGTACCAGTCTTCTGTGAGATGGGTATGGTGAGTCTGCCACAGGGCTGCAAAGCCGAAGTTTTCATACATATTTTTAGCATAATTAAAAATAGCATATGTTTAAATTAAACATGAGTGTTTGCTTATTATAATCTGTACTCACTTTGTTCTCACAGTGGAAAAAGAAATACATAGGAGCTGTTGCTTTTCTTGTGAAGCTATGAGGAGTGGTTTATGGTGTGGGTTTAGGAAGAGGCGAGCAGAGACATTGCAGCGGCCTGGGTTGTGGTGAACCTGGCCCTCCCGTACCTAGTCTGTCCATATCCCATGAATGAGATCTGGAAACTGCTCTGTGCTTGCTCAGTCTTCCCTGTTCAGAGCTCTCCACAGCTTTGCCCAAAGCTGGATCCGTGTTTTTATCCAACCAAAGTGAAACCGAGTGGTAGGAAAGTCTAGGTTAGACCTTCCTCCTGATCCTAAAATGGACCTGCTATGTCTTCCACATTGGAGTACCTGAGGCGGCTCAGATGTCAGCAGGGAAGGTGGGTGAGAAGTGAAGGTGCAGGACATGGTGAAATGGGAGAACAAGAGATGGAAATACTCCATGACTAACGTGTGATAACAAGGGCACTGTTTTATTCCTGTGAATGGTAGAGGCTGTGGGTTTCTGAAGGGTGAGGAGTTGGCAGTACCGGTATTTTTCCATCTGCTGTTTGTGCTCAATTTGTAGGTGATGGTTTCACATAGATGTTTTAAGGCCTATGTGCATGTACCAGTTATAAACTGTAATCAATTAAAACCTAAATGTCAAATTGATACTAATTTGCACCGATGAATTCTGCAAAAAGAATGAAGCATAATAATAGGTGATGAATTAGCCTTCACTTGTGTTAACAACTACAATTTTGTTTTGATTGTTTATTATACTTCATAATGTATTGTTGTATTTTGTAATGTAATCAAGTAACACCGACAGATTGTCACTCTGCCATTCTTAATGGACCCTGTGAGAAAGAACAGCAACTTCAATATTCTGTGCTCAGCATGCACACGTGCATTTCTGCTAGAGTCCCGAAGTCCCAAAGCATGCTATCAAAATAAAAATAACCAATACCTTTTTTCTTTTGTTTTGGAGGAGAGGGAATCAAATCTTTAATAATGTTGAAAAAATAATTTATGCTACAAGTTTAACGGCTGCAGTAAATTTAGAGAGCACACTGTAGTGTGCCAGTGCCACGTTACGTTTCACTGGTGAGCCAATGCTCTTACCCTTTTTGCCTGCAGGGCCACAAGAAGTAGTTTTGGTGAGTTAAAAATGGGAACAATGAGTGCAAAGCAGGTTACACCTTAAGAGTTTCATAATTCAGCTGGCTGTCCTGTCTGTTGTGGCCCCTTCTAGCAATGACTGTTCATTTAATTCCATCTGCTGAAGCCCCTCAAACTGTTTCCTAAGCTGCCTGGATTCCCTTCTTACTCTGGTATACTGAAATGGAGCCAGCGGCTCCTGCCTGCAGAACATCCAGGAGCCCAGCTGTAGTCACTGACTTTACTTGCCAGCCTCTGCAAACTGTCAAAGTTTCCTAAAAAGGAAAGAGCTCTTACTGCAGTAACTCAACCTGCTCTTTTTCAAAAATGTGCCCATCCTTTGCAGGCTGTATAGAGCTGCTGTGCTCCCAGCTGCACAGCACACGAGAGGTAGGGCTGTTGCTGCCTGTGAGCCACCAGAGTTAGCGCTGGCAGCCATATAGTTCACATTTATGAGGATGTTTACTTCCCTATATAGGTTCAAGGTGCAAGTTTCCGGGGTTGGAAGGAAGTGACGTCTATGTTCAACAAAGATGATGAACAGCAATTGCTAGCAGGATGCAAGTCTCCAAAATCCAAAGGGTAAGTAAAACCAATTGGTGTATCTGCTATTAAAATACACAAAATGGAACAGAAAACAGTGATGCAAAGTAGCGAAGGTAGACACTGAAAAGCAGTAGTGCTCACTTCCTGGAAGTTAAATCATAGAGGAAGGTTTATGTGCATTTCAAAATTAGGTATATGTTAAGCTTACAATGAGTAAGGCATGCTGTATGAGGAAAGGACGGATATTGTTGATAGCCTTTGTAGGTCTGTCAGGAAGAAAAGGGAATTTAGCTGCATGATTTTTTTTAACTGCAGAAAACGAGTCAAGGTTTCTGAGTAAAAGGATTTCCCTTAAGGATTGATTATGGTTGAGTTTACAAATTCCTTTTTTTACATGCTTTACTTTATCTTTTGAAGTCTTGTCTATACCTAAAAAGGTTAAGTGGAGTAGCTATGTACTAGGATCTGCAAATCTTCCCTGTTGGACCTGAGGTGTTTACTTGGAACAGTTCTGCTGCTGGTATGGTTAGAGCTGTTCTCTGAGCAGAACAGACCTCTTCCCAGGAGAGACTATTTTGCTGTTAGAAGTATACGTAGGCTTTCGCCACATGTGCTACCTCACTGCCTTGGTTACAAACAGGAAAGAACATGCAATCCATCAGTAAAGCTGTGCCTGCCAAATACTAGCTTTGATAAGACTTGTAGTATGTTCTGTTTCCAGTTTGCTTTGAAATATATACGCTTAGGCATACAAGTGTATACTTGTGCATGTAGGGGTGGGTGTGTGTATCTGTACATATATATAAATATAAAAACAATTTAGCATATAAATACATATATTTACATTTCCATTTGAGCCTGTTCAATAAAACTTCTCAACAGTTCCCAGCTACTGCCCCTGTACAATTTTATGGGTGTTACTAAGATGCCAGGTTGCTTCAAGGGTCGTTTGCAATTGATGCTGAATCAAGTAACCCAGGGAAGAGGGTGGAAGCACGAAAACTGAGTTACCACAAACGTGGAAAGCTATTTTATTATTACTATGAAAACTGCCTGTATTTTAAGTTTGAGGGTATTTTCCTTTAACTATATACCATGATCTTTACTTTACTTTTAAACAAAAATGCAACTTTTAAGTGCTCTACTCATAAAATACGAGAAAAGTGTTCTGAGTCTGTGACTGGCTTTAGCAAGGTGAAAATTCTGAAAAATCCAATGACAAATTCAGAAGTCCGTAAAGTTGTTTTAAAGGTATTGGTTCAGTTGCTTCTATTTAAATATGACAGTGTCAAGCTTTCATTAATGGAAAAAAGCTCTTTTAAAAGAATTTCAATTATGGTTTTGTTTGTGGCAAAGGAATGTGTATGCTACTAGCAGATAATGTTTTCAGTTTGCTATGTAGCTCATTGAACCCTGAAGGCTGTGTGTTTCATCACTGGTATTCAGCCTGTCCTTGTGGTCCTGTATTTGATTACATACATAATCCTGCATATAAACTTATGCATAAAATTTTGACATTCTATATTTTAAATACTCCACACTGCAAAGATGAAATAATACGGATTGAAGGTTCTTAATAGGATAAGAAATGTAGTAATAGGAGTAGCCTTTCAAGTGTCTCTTTGAAAGAGAAATTACAACAAAGGTTGTATTTTCTTGATTTGGGAAGGGAATTTCGGGACTTCTTACCAGAAATACAAACCAGCTGTTTTCAAAATATTGTGCAGGTCTTTGTGAAAAAAAATGCTGGTATCTTTAAAGTCCTAATACTGTGCACATCAACTCTTTTAGGTATAAAGTTTAACTGACAAAGTGATAACAGGTATATGAAACTGAGGAATACAGTGAGTGATTGTTAAAGCTGGTGGTAGACAAAACATTTTCATATTCCTTCTACTGTCCTACCTCTGGGTTTGCTGTTTGGGGTTTTTTGGATAAAGTCCTAAATTGTTCTAATGCATGCTAAAATACCTCATACGTTCCCAGAGGTAGTTCTGTGTAACTCACTGGCTGGGGGAGTGTCACTTTATTTATCACAGGAAAGGGCCATAGCAGTCCACTTCTGATTTATCACTGCAAGACACCACTGAGTTTAGACTTACATGTATAAAAGGGTGTTTTTCCTCAAGCTGACAGTAATGGATGTGCTGTCATAGGCTGATGACTGATTAGTGTTCGTTGCTATAAAGCATAGTTATTAATAAATATTGAATTAATTTATTATTACATGCATTGTTAGATGAATAAATTAATCACCTCATCATTATTTTCTAGAACAAACCTAAAGTTAAAGGAAGAGATGAAGTCTGAAAAGAAGCCAGGTTTTTGGGACAGTTTGGTGATAAAGCAGAATGTCCCATCTAGGAAACCAGATGAGATTGAAGGATGGGAACCACCGCAGATTACCACTGCTGACTCTACCAGTGATGCAGCAGCTACTTTAAGTGACTATACAGCCTGGTCAGGCTGGGAAGATGAAACCAAAGGCTCCACAAAATACACAAATCTGGCCAGCTCAGGAAACAGTTCCAGGTGGAGTATCAAATCAGCTGGAAAGCTGGTTAGTATTAGACGTCAAAGCAAAGGTAACCTTACTGACAACTGGGAAGAACTAGAATGATGCTGATAACATGAAATACTTTACAGATAAGAAGAGAAAGGTTTCATATTTACTCGTATGTTTAAACCAAAATCAAATCTGCTCAATATTGCACCTTTATACAGTACTTTGTTTTATTCAGATTGTTACAAATTTTTGCTCACCTGATAGTAAATTTTCTTATTACATTGTTAAATAGGTATGTTTTCCACACTAAAAAAAAAGTAGAGAATCTATTTTGTGCCTATATTTCACATTCAGACTCTGCAGTATGTTGGATTGTTGGTTTTACCAAAAAAATGTAATTCCTTTGTGAATGTATACACTGGTTGTAAATTTGACTGCCTTATGTAGGAGCTTCCACTAGCTTGAGGGTCTGGTTTTTTTCCTGGTATTTGAGGGCCACTCAAATTTTTAGTTTTGATGCTGTCCCTTTTTAACTAAGAATACTGATCTGTGGCTTGCAGGAAGAATGCTTACACTTAGTAGACTGTTTTCCAAATCTTCAGCCTCAGCATATGCTTCAGCTTGTGCACACAAGACGCTCAACTGTCACAACGTGCTATACTGTGTATGAAATGGGAAAGTACTATTCTAATATGATTCCTTCCATCACAGGATCTTTGACAATAGTCAGGTCGAATGGGTCTTCCAGAGTTTTTGTTTTTTATATTGAACGTTGTTTGACAAAGCTAAGCTGCTCAGTTTTTGAGATGTATGTTATCCCAAGAATAAAAATGATCGAAAATTGGGAAAGCAGCAGTAAGTAGAGTATAAGAAGATCTCAATATTGAGTATCTGTAGTCCTGAATCTAAGGATAAGTTGCTTCTTATGGAAGGGCATATGTTTTCATTTTTACAATAAGTGATCCTTTTTTGTTTTGTACTGTGTTCCTTCCCCTCCTGGCCCATAAGCAGTGATTGAATTATACTTTGGCATTTTCAGGGTAACTGAGTAACTGAGCCATTTCAAGTATGTGCATGCACACAATGTCTGAAGCATTTTTGTTATAAAGCTCCGTCTTACTAGCTACTGATATTTTATTTTTTTGGAAGGTGAAGTGTTAAACTTGAGATTTGAAATGTATATAAGAATACTAAAAGTGCCTCTTTCTAGCATATTGTCTCTCATTAGCAGTGCAGCCGATGTCAGATCCAAAGTTGGTTTCCATTTTGTTCATATGACCTATACAAATACATTAATGGAAAAAATTTAAAAAAAAATTTAAAACATTAATGGAAAAAAATCAAACCAAAAGTTTCAGAAAAAATTAACAGTAGGCCTTTTCTCTCCTGATTGTTAAACTGGTATAACAGAACTGAAAACTTGTTGACTGCCTAGCAATATGGCCAGTACAGTCGGAAGATCAAGTTATCATTTCAGAGAAAATCAGCATTTTTACAAGAAAGCAGATACCTTTATATAATGGATCGCTTATAGACATATTTTTGCAAGAAGCTTACGCTGGTGAAAAGGGATGCATGCAGTTTTCTTCTAAGCTTGTACCTGGTTTCTGTTATTGCCACATTACTCCTTTCTTAGCTCTCTCTTTCCCCTCTCTTTTCCAATACATGTATAGTTCTCTGGCTTACAGTTCCTGAAAAGCTATTTTTTTGGAGATTCCTGTTGAGATGTGCCTGGAGGGAAACTGTAGCAAAATGGTTTTGTTTTTTTTTTTTTTCCTGTTGTAATAGGGTGTTAAAAGACATTGTTCTTAAGTTTATATAAAAGAACATTAGTGTTTTGTGCCACAAAACAGGATCTCGTAACTGGCAAATAAATGTATTTGTAAAATTGGCATGATATATTAAAAGAAGTACTGATAGAGGAGAAGGGGTTAGCATTTATATCACATCACTTAGTCTGTGAGTAAACTCTGTATTTGCCTTTGGCAAATATGTATGCTGAGGTTAATTATAGGAAAGACTTAGTATTTTGGGTAAAGTATGCTGCATTTTATAGTTTATGGAATACTCTCTAAGGCATGAGCTTAGTTTGGTTGTTGGTGCTGACCTAAACGAGCAGAAAAAGATCTGCTAGCAGCCCTCAATATTTTTCTCTCAAAGATGGGCTGAGAACTTCTAATTTCCCTCCTGAAGAAACTATTCATACTGTGACCAGTAAAAATTTTGCCTTGCACATTATACTGTCAAGTGCCTGTTTCTCACCTTGATGATGTGTTTGATGCACAGCTTAACTGCAACATTTTTCAATTTGCTTTTAGCTGTATGGTAAAGAATACTCCCAAAACTGAAGTCTATTATAAAACAAAATTGCATCCAAGTGGGAAATTGAGATATGTAAACTTAAGGTTTAATTCCTAATGATGAAAGTTTTGGTATGCTTTTTAAGTGATATGTCCTCAGAAATAACTGTTCCAAGGATGAACATTATTAAATTTAATATAATTTATTGTTATGCTTTAATAATGTATTTGTCTTTTGATAACTCTCTGGTGTGAGCTTTTCTTCTCTTATGTTTATAAACTTGTCTGAATTTTCAGAATCGGGTCCTCTTTTTCTTTCACCTTCTTTAGATGCTTAACTACATTATACATTTATGGGCTTAAGCTATACACAGCTCCATATGTGGAATAAGTGTAGAGTTATGTCCCTTAGTATTTTTTTTGAAATTGCGTTTCAATCTATGTGAAATGGTTTAGAAGAAGGTAGCATTAAGATTGTATTATAAGATTGCACAAAATAAAATAGAGTTTATATTGCTTTCTTGTAGCCAATCTGCATGATTGTTGGCGTGGTTTTAACGGGAATTAAAAGCTTCATGTGGCTGTAACTAGTCACTTAACTCTAAGCAAAGTTCTTTCTGAGTATTTTTATTTATTAGCATCACTTGCAAAAAGAAGAGTAGTATTTTCCATATGAATAAAGATTTAGTTTGAACTGAAATGCCTTATTCCTTGATCTATTTTTTTTGTCCCATGTTATTTGTCATGTGAATTTGTTTCCATCTGCGTGGATGTTGCATCATTGTACAGTACAGCCAAGGAAGTAATAACTATGTTTGTCCAAACTCAGTGAATCATGCTGTCTCAGGAGCTGCAGCATCCTAGATTTAAAGCATCACCCATTGCTTTCACAGTGGGAAGAATTCATTGGTTTTGACAAACTGCAAGTATTTTGTTTTACTGATATTTAGTGGTTTAAACATTAAAAAAAAGAATGTATTGACTTACCAAAGTTTGGTCAGAGGGGCATTATTTCCCTGAAGATTTCACCAGCTACATGTAAACTGGGGCACCTGGAATGCTTTTGCATGCACTGGCCCCATAATGAGGTGAGACCTGCACATCCTGGACTGCGAGAAAAGTGAGGTGGAGCCGCTGTTACCCAGCAGATCGGCTATAGAAAGCAGCATATTGTCAACTTCTTGTTCGTCCACTCCAGTCTGCTGGCTTTGTTGTTGTCTAAATAGACTTAGCAGGGAACACTTAGGCAAAATGTTTCTTGTGGGAGTGCGTGAACTAGCTGAAACAGAACATTTTATTCCTGCAAGTTACATTCTTAGGGAAATAACCTTATATTGAGATGCCTCTGACTATACCCAGGTGGGTCATGCACACATCTGGGCAGGTGAGAAGTTGTGGAGGGCCATTCATTCCAGTTCCTGGGCACACAAGGACCCTGCCAAATTTTGAATATAGCTGTTCCCACAGCCCAGGTGAATTTGGCCTGGCATCTATCTCAATTTCCAAAATTTTCTGAAATGCATGTTAATGTAAATGAATGTCGTATGACAAAACTGTATGCCCCAGCAATGTGCACTTGCAGCTCAGAAAGCCAAGCATGTCCTGGGCTGCATCAAAAGCAGTGTGACCAGCAGGTCGAGGGAGGTGATTCTCTCCCCCTACTCTGCTCTCATGAGACCTGACCTGCAGTACTGCGTCCAGCTCTGGAGTCATCAGCACAGGAAAGACGTGGACCTGTTGGGGTGGGTCCAGAGGAGGGCCACGAAGATGGTCAGAGGGCTGGAGCACCTCCCCTATGAGGACAGGCTGAGAGAGTTGGGGTTGTTCAGCCTGGAGAAGAGAAGGCTCCAGGGAGACCTTAGAGCAGCCTTCCAGTACCTGAAGGGGGCTACAGGAGAGATGGGGAGGCACTCTTTATCAGGGAGTGTAGTGATAGGATGAGGGGTAACGGTTTCAAGCTTATAGAGGGCAGATTTAGATTAGATATTTGGAGGAGGTTTTTTTCTGTGAGGGTGGTGAGACACTGGAACAGGTTGCCCAGAGAAGCTGTGGATGCCCCATCCCTGGAGGTGTTCAAGGCCAGGCTGGATGAGGCTTTGAGCAACCTGGTCTAGTGGAGGGTGTCCCTGCCCATGGCAGGGGGGTTGGAACTAGATGATCTTTAAGGTTCCTTCCAACCCAAACCATTCTATGATTCTGTGATTCTGTCTCTACTGTACAGTCTGAAAAGAACATGAATGTATGTGTTATTTAACTATTTCTTGCATATCTAAACTGTTCTGATTTTTTTTTTCCTGAGTGCCTCCTAGTTGGTTTCTGATGTGCAAGTATCTGGGAAATGAAACGAGCACTTTGAAGAAGAAAAATAATTTCCTAAAAGATGTAGTCACTGGTGATGGTTTGCAAAGGTGTCTAGCATTACATGTCTGTCTTCTAGCATGACTGCTTTGTACCATAGGGAATCTGACAGATAGGCAAAGAATCCATTTTAGAAATAGAAAGGAGAGAGTTGCATTTATTGCAAGGGCAACCAGCAGAAAAAAATGCTACTTCTATAGTTACCAAGTAATAAAGAGAATGAAAACAATAAGAAAAAAAGGGATATCAATAATAAAAATTTACATGAAATATATAATAGTAAACAAAGTGTTAAGATAAGATGGTTTTTCATATGATATTTACCAACTTTTATCACTGGTACTGAATAGAGAAATACCTGTGCTGTATTTGGGAGCAAAATTTTCCTATTCTGTGTGTAGTATTTATGAAAAAGATGCAAGAAAGCTACTATATTCTTTTTAATAATGATCTGGTAAAAGCTCAGCTGGCACTTAATTTTTTTATGTTTTTGAGGCCCAAATAACACCAGTGAAAGCTTAACAACATGTTTTGAACTGTGAATTTGCTATTAG